AATCTGGATATTGTAAACATGTTGTAGCTGTTCTTTTATATGTCAATTGATTTGCTCGTCATAATTAGTTTGAATTGTCTTCACCCGTGCACTGTTCACTAAACTAATAAAAATGTAATAATGTAAAAAAAATTAACCAACTCAACCATCATCACTACCAACAGTGCCAACACTTTATGTCATTGACAAGTTTGACTACAGCTACAGCAAGCTGAATGCAATGTAGTCTATGCACTTTATCCATAGACAACAGTTTGTTTTCCCCCAGTTTGAAGTTTGTATTATGTAACCTAGATGTCGCCCACTTCGTGAATCTCGCGAATACAATCTACAATAACATATTATACATTTTATGTCAAGTATTCATCTCACTCTGTATATTCAACTTTATACGAATTAGTCAACCATCATCTCTATGACATTTTTTGTCACATCATTTGATTTTTTTTTACACATATGTTTTCTTTTTGTGCTGATTTTATATAGTATTTCATGTTAGTAGGTATACCTATTTCATTGATGTACATTCATATATCAACATTATTGTTCATTCGATGGTCTAGAAAGTCTTGATAAAGAAAATAAACATTTTCGAAAGCTCGACAAATAACGAAGAAATCTAACTGATATTGGTCACATTCGACTGCTTCCCACGAATATTCCCAATAATATAATCTATATAACAGTCACGAAAATTTCCCCTTTTAGATTGATTCACCTTATTAGATTTATTATTTTGGACAATATATTGAGTTGTGATATTTTTTTCAATGACCATTGTTTCAAAATGAGTGAATTAAGACGGGCTGCAGAAGTAAGAAAATTCAATACTTGGCGCATTCGCGAAGTGTCCCAATGCATCAATTATACCACAGACAAAATTGTTCTGCATTACTATCCAATTTAAAACAAGGAGTCATGCAAGAAGTGTCAATTTTCATTAAAAATTGGAAAACCCATACAAAGTGGATGTGTGTTCGCAGTGAAAATTTCTTTGAGACCGATTTTATCATAGGTGACATTGAGGTTATGTAAAAGGCTCCTTTTTTTAACTCATGAAATATAAATACAATGGGGTGGTGATAAGAGCATTTGTTTGCAAACATAGGCCAAGGATTACTAATACCACCTGTACTTTGATTGACCAGATCTTTTCTAACTGTAACAATGAAGAATCATGTTATGTTACTGATTGTGAAATATCTGATCATCGTGCGATATTCTTAGATATCAACGAATGCTCTTCTCTGAAATCAAACAATAAAATCGAAATGAAGAGATGTTTCAATGAAAGTAATAAAGTAAATTTCGAGTTTATGTTAGAAAAAGAAGAATGTAACATTTATAGATATGGCGATTGCGAAGGAGCCTTCAATTGTTTGAAAAAAGTAATAAAGTAAATTTCGAGTTTATGTTAGAAAAAGAAGAATGGAACAACTTTTATGAATATGGCGATTGCGAAGAAGCCTTCAATTGTTTTTATGACATATTTTATCATTATTTCGAAACTGCCTTCCCCAAACGCAAAATATAATAATATAATATAATTATACAGGGTCGCTGATATGTGTGGAAACAGGTGAATATCTTAGTAACATGTTGTTGGATTTTTTTGAATTTATGTACAGTGTGATTTCAAAACGTGGCGGATTTGGAAATGTTATAGCCAATGTTGCCACTTTTTCAGTTATTCCGGATTTTTTATTAACTTCCTTATTTTGAATGAAACACCCAGAACTTTATTGAATTTTCAGATTCTCCTTGAAGAGCTGATTCCATCGATCTATCACACTTAGGGGTCTAGCGGGAATGATTACATAGGTATAGGGTGTTTAAAATCTAGATTTCTCAACTTTAGGATTTTTTGTGTCGAAACTATCCATTATCGATCGAAACCGCTCCAATGTTCCTATATTTTCTTTTGATTTACAATTTACTGACATTTAATTGGAACAAATACAGGGTGGTTCAAGATTCAGAATTCTGATCACCCTCTGTATCTGTTCCATTTAAATGTCAGTAGATAGTAAATCAAAAGTAAAGATAGGAATATTAGAGCGGTTTTGATCGATAATGGATAGTTTCGATACAAAAAAATCCTGAAGTTGAAAAATCTAGATTTTAAACACCCTATACCTATGTAATCATTCCCGCTAGACCCCAAGTGTGCTAGATCGATGGAATCAGGAATCTGGAAGGAGTATCTGAAAATCCAATAAAGTACAGGGTGTTTTATTCAAAATGAGGAAGATAAAATTCCGGAATAACTGAAAAAGTGGCAACATTGGCTATAACACTTTCAAATCCGCCACATTTTGAAATCACACTGCACATAAATTCAAAAAAATCCAACGACTGGTTACCGAGATATTCTCATGTTTCCATACAAATCAGCGACCCTGTATAATAAATCCACACAAAATGTTTTTAGAGCCATTTAGCGAATTAGAATTGTTGAATTTAATCAATCGCAAACTAAGAAGCAAACAATCGTCAGGAACTGACGAAATTCCAGTGTTTCTACTAAAAAGAGTTTTGCACATCATAGAACCGATAACTTTTTTAGTGAATCTTTCATTTTCACATGGCAGTTTCCCTACATCGCTGACGGTAGGAAATAAGGAAACTCCTCTGCGTAAGAACAAAAAATTATCAACTATAGAAAATTTTAGACCAATTACCGTCCCCCAGAGCTTCTCGAAAATCTTCGAGATGCATTCCTAGAGCGCTTGAATGATTTTCTGGAATCACACAATATTATGATACCCATGCAGCATGGTTTTCGCTCTGGAAAATCGACTCAAACTGCTCTGCTAACTTTTTATGAAAACATTATGGAGTTCATTGAAGCGGGCGAGTGCCCAGCTGCAATTTTTTGTGATTTGAGCAGAGCTTTTGACTGCGTGAATCACCTGAAACTGATGGATATGCTGGAGTGTTATGGTCTGAGGGGAAATTCACATGCTTGGGTATCCTTGTTCCTCAGCAACAGAACACAATGCGTCTCATTGAAATTTGATAGAGGTGGTGTGGTTTCTATAAAACCGTTTTAGCAAAATATTCATCAACACATTTTATCATTTCATTTTCTACTTCTTTCTAGTTTGGCTGTCCATGAAAGCGTGTTTCTTTCTACTATTTATCTTCTACTTCTTTTTAGTTCAGCAATCTATCTCTTTAGTTTTTTAAACTACTATTTATTTCACTACACTGTTTTACCACTAACCAAACCGATTTTTTAACGCCTCGACACTACTACTATTTATTTTCCATTTCTTTTGAGTTTGGCTATCTATAAAAAGCGTGTTTCATGCAGAGGCGGACTGGGGGGCCAGACGATCGGGCAATCGCCCGATGGGCCGGTGCCCTTTGGGGCCGGTAGAAATGTTGAATGTTGAGAAATATATACATAGATACTGCAAAGAAAGCTGCATCAAACGTTCTGTATGGTACAAAGAGAAGCATGGTAACTAAATGTGCATTTTAGAAAATCACGATCCATCCGCGGTGTATGAAAAGGTAAAAAATTATTATTCTCGAATATATAATGAAATTATATAGGTAAAAAAGTGCACTTATCATGCTATGTTTTTTTTTTCGAATATTTTTTGTGGTACTTATATATTTTCGTCTGAAAAACACGAATTTCACAATGAAAATGTGAAACAAACCGCTATTTATCGAGATATTTTACGAAAAGGTTTAAACTTTCACCTTCTTCTGCCATCCATCTTGGATATTCATTTTCAACTACTTGTCCTTTTTCCATCACTGGACAATTTATATACTAACGTTAGTAGTATGGTTCATCTGTATTTTTCTCATATTTTAGTGAGCTAAACAATCACACCAGGACGGTCATTCAATTATCAAATCTGAATCAAATCTACTAGTCATCTCAATCTAGAAGGCCATTCAATTATCAAATATGAATCAAATCTACTAGTCATCTCAATCTAGAAGGTCAAATGTAAAAAAAAATTGCGAGAAATCAAACTATTGTTCACCTCATTTGCATATGAAAAAATACCAAATAGACCATACTTCTTGCTGATTTTAGGAAATAAAATGTGTCATTGAAGTACAACGTGAGTATATAAATTGTCCAGTGATGGAAAAAGAAGGACAAGTAGTTGTAAATGAACATCCAAGATGGGTGGCAAATGTAGGAGGAATTTTGAACTTTTTCGTAAAATATCTCGATAAATAGCGGTTTGTTCACATTTTCATTGTGAAATTCGTGTTCTTCAGACAAGAACACGTAGAAAATTTTCGAAAAAAAAAAACCATCATATGATATGAGCACTTTTACCATTATATGAATAGGTTCAATTCGCCCAGGCCGATTGAAAGGTCGAGTCCGCTCCTGGTTTCATGAGTTTTTCAAACTATACTATGTATTACAAAGCTCGTTCGTCATATTGGATCCACACTCTTAAATTCAAAAAATAGTTAATGACCGATTCTCAGACCTACCAAATATGCACACAAACATTTTCATAAAAATCGGTCACACCGTTTTGGAGGACACAACCACTGTGACACTGATACGAGAATTTTATGATAATGATTAACCAAGAGAATAAATAACGAATGCAGTGCTTTTCCGTATCATTTCAGGAACGGCTGACATTTTTACAAATTGCAAAACGTCGTCTTGAAGAGATACAAATTACGCAACTTATTGTTCCAAATTCGATCAACTTTCTGACCGTTTAGGAATAGCAATATTATCCCTATTAAATCGGCGGGACTTTCTATATACATCAAAACAAAAATTGTATTGGAATTTCAAAATTTCAAATGGAAAGAACATTAGTTCAAGTTTAATATAATCTAAAATATTCAGATATAACAAGCGATGCATAAAAAAGAGATACAATACCCACTATTCAAAGGTAAACAGTTCTGATTATTACAATAATTATTGTGTAGATGGATTTCTCAATTATGCATGATACTTTTTGATCATGATAAAACACATGATACCCTTCAATCATTTATGATGGAACCATTCCCCTAGTTCGTTTCCACTGAGCTCCAGATTTTCGACTATGATTCGCTCTGGATGATTTGTTGACGTTCTTCTTGTCTCTCGCTTTCAAAACATCCTTCTCCTGACCTTGACCTTTGGGCTTTCCAACGACTTTAGTCTTTTGAGGTGGTTGAGGTCTTTGAGGGTTTTTAGACTGGAACTTTGCTTCTCTACGAGCTCTTATCACTGCAGGATCTTCACAGAAGTTCATTTTTGACCTGCGAACATATTTTTTTTTCTGTGACGGGAAAAAAGTTTGGCATTTTATCTCTGTTGGCAGGTTATAAAATGTCACTTTTCATAAATTACTTTTTTCCCGTGGGAAAAAAGTGGGTACTTTTTTCCCGGATATATATCAAATATATATACACTGTTGATGGCTTTTGTTGTGCTATAGTTCCGAAAAATGAGTCAATAATACCGTCTCCGAGAAAGAACTGCAAGTCTTTTTTCTTCCATTGGATTTCGCGGTTACGTATATTACTAAACAACCACTAAATTCGCAATTTTTTGAAATCAAATCACAGAATTAGACTGACAGAAGTGACATCAGATATTTGATTACTTCAAAAGAATGCTAACGATGCCTACAACGCTGGTGTCCCTACTGTTAAAAACTCAAAATTTCACGTCGATAATTTTCAGATTGCAAAATAATGTAATATCTTCTCAATATTGATTCGTCCTTTCTTATGTCACAGAAAAAAATAGTGTATTATACATTGGAAAAGTATTAGATTTTAGCTCACGGGTTTTTGTCTCCCTCCGCTACACGTCGGGAGACAACACAACCTGGAGCTAAAATCTACTACTTCTTTCCCTTGTATAATAAATAACTATTTTTTCATCTCTTGGAGCTCACAGAACGAAATTCCTATATTGTTCGTGGAACACCGTGCGTACTTAGGGAGGATAGGGTGTTGGATTTTTTGTTATAAGTTCTTGGGAATACTTTCATTGGCAGAGAATTCCAATGCTTTCCCGTTAATAAATATATCAAGGTTAACGACGAAAGGATGTGCTGTCAGCTTTCCACTTAATTGCAGATGTATTGGGGTGCAACTTTGAATGATATTGTGTCTTCTATGGACCTAAGACTTTTCAAACTCCCAAAACCAAAAAGTATAGAAATCTTTATTATGACAAAAATTTGTTCCTTCAGGAAATTACTAGAAGAATAGTTTTTCCTTGATGAAACTACTGTCACATTATGATACTCTGGGCCTTCATTTCGGGTAGTTCCTGGAATGTCTCCCCGAATTCATTTTTTGATTGAAAATTGATAAATGATTTTCTTCTAGTCAAGCACTTCTTGAAATTTTTCTCAAGAACTGCCTAAACACTCGTTATTGAACGAAAAATGTTTTCATGTTATATTTGGTTTATGAAAGACGAATGCACCAAAATAGAATAAAGGAAGTGGAGGTAAAATAGGAAAAAACTGATTTACAAGAAAAAAATGCACTAACGGAGACGTTCTTGAGAATTCATCTTCAACTGCTATACATATTGTGATATTTAATTTCAAACTTGTTTCCTGATGTTCTTCATTCTGCTAAAGTAATTGATTTGCCTCTTATTGACTTATTGATTTAAAAACAGTTCATCACAATAATCAGTGTTTACAGAGTTCTGGAGAAAAAAAAATCAAGAAATGGTTTACCAGAAAAAAATTCAAATTTTATAGTTATATAATTCTGAATAACCGATATTATTGTACGGAAACTTATTCAAGCCAATTAAAATTTACAGTTTTGGCAAAGTGATAGTTGTTTGGTTTACTAGGCAGAAAAGCATAAGATTCAATGCTGCTGCTGGTGTTTCATAGCCGGGGCTAGGAAACCAGCAGAGGCATTGAATCTTCTTTTCTGCCATGTAAAACATACAATTTGTTCACGAAATTCCTTCCAATTTCATGCAAAATCCATATTAATAAATTCGCACCATACAAATAATTAAATAATTTTAACAAAGGTTGTTTTTTCTTGTTGAACCGTGTTCAAGATTGATTTTGAACCGGTTTCAAGCGTGATGTAGTAATTTATCTCATGCAGGAAAACATACCATTTTGAAATTAAAGCGGTCAAAATCAATGATTGCTTATACATAACCTGAAATCAATAATTTTTTAAATCAAGGAATATGTGAGAAGTGTGGAAATAGGAATCCATTGTAATATTGAATCACAAGTGAAATAATTTTCAATTGATCTTGAAACAACTCCTCTACTCGTTTCCGTGGTTCGAACCGTTCATTTAGAAGAGTACCAGAATGAACCGTATCACTTGTTATAATTTACACAAGAAAATGCTGCTGACGACGTTTGTTGAATTGTTTATGTTTACTTTAATGTCATTGTCAATTTTAAGAAAACGTGAAGTAACTGTTCATAATGGACTTAATTGTAAGTGAGGATGAACCATCAACACCCCCTTAGATAAGAGACCTGGCGCGAGATGTGGAATTAAAAAAATTACCGGATAAGTCAAGAACTCTATTATTTTGTGTTCAACGCAATGTCATTAATTTTGATCAAAATTATTACTAGGAACGTTGCATATCAACAAACTTATACACCTTTTATGCCTGTCAAGTGTAATCAAAGAGCCATTTTTAATGTCATTTGAAAAAAAAATTGACTTAAAAGATTGCATACAATGGAAATTCAATCTAACCTGTTGTTTTGAGCTCCAGTAGCGTTTCCATTCACCCCAGCCTTAGAAACGGGTTTTCCGTTGTCATCATACTCCTCATCTGACGAATAGCTGGTATCACTAGCCAAGTCTTCATGATTAGGATTGAAAGTGAGAACTTCCTCTTCTAATGGATTATCGGCCACTTTTATAGGGGCATCATAATCATATCTATCATCATATTCATCATCATACAAGTGGTCGTTACTGTATTGGCTGAAACAAAAAAGCATACTGTGCTGGTGTTTCATTTCACTTTGGTCTTTGTAATGATATAACATGTAAAATTCATAACAACTGTTGACAAATATTCAAACCAACTAGCATTTGTTTCTAGTTTCATTTTCGATACTGAATATTTTAGACTCTTATTATGAAACTGGTATGCCATCATAGATTCAATTGATAATTACAGTTACTTACATTCCCTCTAAAACAAAGGACTTCAACTCCTTAATATCTGACTTATCATTTAATAATTTGAGAGCATCATCATAATCCGGTTTCTTGCCCCTGTATGCTAAAACTGGTTTTTCAGGTTCAGGTTCTGGGGGTATCCTGATTGTGTCGAATGGAATTTCGTATAGGTGGGGCGGAAGATTTTCTTCCAAAATTGCATTGATTACATCACTTTTTTGGAAATTATAACATTCCAGGCATTTTAGTACAAACCCTAAAAAGCATTCATTAGAATTTGTAAATAACCACTTTAGCTAAATCAGCAAAATATTTATATGGCCTGCTAAGGACAGTAGTCAATAAAAATAATAGCTTTAGTAACATTTCAGAATAATACAAATACAAAATCTTCAGGTCAGAAAATATATAAAACTTAATACTAGAATAGAACAATAGTAGAATAAAATGGGACATAGCAAAATGACATTATATGTTATACTAGCAGTAATAACATCACTAACAGGAAGTAAAAAGGGGGGTCTTTCAATAAAATTGTGATTTTTGACTTGAACTGTTTAAAGCAGCTAAACTGAGTAATTGTACGAGGTGAGTGATTGTACAGTTTGATTTTAGGACCATTTTTCATTTGGGTTGGTGAGTAAGGTGGAACATAAATTGTACCTGCAGCTCTAGTACAATAGGAATTTATTACCCCACATGTTTGGAAATTATGAATATTTTTCTTCAAGTCGATAAGACTCTGGAGAGAATATACAAGTTATATACAGTTAGAATACCCGTGTTGCGAAAATGATTTCTACAGGAAATGCTAGGCTTGAGGTGTAGCATATTTCTCAGTAAGCACTTTTGCCAAGTTAGTACTTTATGGGTGTCTGTAGAATTTCTCCAACAAATCAGTCCATATGAGATTATCGAGTAAACTGTAGTGTAGTAATATATTTTGATGTTGTCGAGATTTCTTAATTGTATAATGGAAAAATTTTTGCTCGCTAGGTTTTTTACCAAATGAGCTATGTGATTGTCCATGCTAGGTGAGGATCAAGCCATAGACCCGAAACTTTACTTCCTCAGCTGGAATTATGCTTTCACCGTCGCATTTCAGCAGAAGGCTGTAGTCTGGTTTGACAACCTATTGGTGTGAAATTAATGAAATTAGATTTTTTTCTTATTGAAAACGAGGCCACTTTGTGTACTGAAAGAGCATATTATGCTATCTACCTTTTGATTTGCTGAATAAAATACATTAGGTATGCTTTCACCGGCGATTGCTGCACTAGTGTCATCAGCAAATATACTATTTTTTTTTATTGACTCGGCCGTTACTTGATGGAAATCCATTGCAAATGTAAAAACTTCACAAAGGATAAGATGGATGGATGGAAATCTAGCACCTAGTATATCAGTAATGTTGTTAATGAAAACAAGGAATAGGATCGGATCGGATGGTAGCGATTTTACTAAATATACTGTACGCTAGCACATACCACGCCCACCGTTATATCTCATCTTCAAAGTACTTTACTTAGGCAAAACTCAGAGACTATTTATCAACGAACTAACCTATCCCTGATTGCAATATTTTTGAGGAAGGAAAACCGAATGGAGTGTAGAAACACATTGATTAATAATATATTTCAAAAGTTGAGTTCTTCAACAAAATTGAATAAAACGAGACTGTTTATCCTAAACGCACTAACCTATTTGACTTCAAATATTCTATGAAAAAGGAAAACCAGAATGAAGTAAAAAAACATTGGTGAAAAAAAAAGTAGCAAAAAAAGTTCAAGTTCACAGCGATTCGAACCATGGACCTTCAGACTGAAAGTCGACAGCGCTAACCAGTAGACCATTTGGGTGTATGAATTTACTGCGTACAAGAGATTGACAACGAGAGAGCTTCAGTCGAATTCGTGTCAAAATCATAAAAAGTGTATTCTTGCGTTGGAGCACAGTATATTTAGTGCGATGTGCTGACTCCGAGTATATCGGTAATGTTTGGAGATATGACGTATTATGGTGGGCGTGGTTTGTGCTAGTGTGCAGTATATTTAGTAAAATCGCGTCCTGGTATACTGCCTTGGGGGACTCCACTGGTTGTCATTACAGTGTCCGAATATTGGTGTGTTATTTATGTATAATTTGACGAATTGTGTTCCATACCAATAGCTTTTCTAATAGAATATTGTGATTCAAGATATCAAACGCACGAGAGTAGTCATAGAACAAACCAATTGATTTCAGTTCATTGTTCAAGTTTTCTAAGATGGCTCCATAAAAGGACAAAAGGACAACTTGAGTTGATTTTCCTTTCAAAAATCCAAATTGTCTCGGAATGAGAGTATTATTAGCGTGGAGGAATGACAAAAGACGAGCACTGAGGGCTTTTCAAAGATCTTTGAGAAAATTTACAGTAAGGCAATCGGTCGATAGTTTTGTGTGCTATGAGTATTTCCATTTTTATCAATAGGAATTATCATGGTAGATTCGAGTTCCTCTGGAAAGTAACCATTTTTGAAGGATATATTTACCAGAAAAGTAAGTGGTTTGAGGATAAAAGGAATTATATCTTTTACTATGAGATCTCGTCTGTACCATGCGATTTTTTTTAGTGCAATCGATTATGATATTCATCATTTCAGTTTCATATTGAGACTGTACAAGCTTTGGTGTAGGTATATTATCAACTTGAAGATTGGATGGTTGATTCATCACATCACTACTTAGAATGACACTGAAAAGACGATGTTTATATTGATTGAGAACTGACGCAAGAGGAATTTGTTCACATTCCCACAATGACTCCACAATGAAATATATAATAATATATTCAAACTACTAGATCACGCGTAGAAAGAGGGGGCATGAAGAAATCCAAAAATATCCCGATTTTCTTTTCGTCAGTATATTTGAATTATAATTATTGAATTCTGGCGTTCAATGTTCTAGAAGTGTATTATAAAAACTTACCATCACCAAGATGAGGAAACATATCAACAATATCTTTTATCACAACATCAATATCATTCTCATTGATATCCTCAAGGGCTGATTCAATATGAGTTGGCTCATCATCAGGTTCAATTATGGGAGGCCTAAACTGCTTGAAAACATCTTCTATTGTTTGCTTCTTCAGTTTCGATAACTCTTGCAATGTCTTATTCCTCTGTAATTTATTTATACATGAAACAATGAAATCAGTCCTTGTTGTATCTCTGGAATATTGGATAAGAAAATAATATTTCGATGAGCTTTTGATGTATTCAAAGGATTACCAAGAAATTATTTATAAGAAGGATACAGGTTTGTGCAACTTTCGAACACCTCATTCTGGTTCGCTATATTATATTTCAAATTGTAATCACAGATGAAGTATTCATCTTCCAGGGCAGTAGTCAATAATTTCAAGTATGTCTCGACCACATGTTCTTGTTGTTTTATGTCACCCCTAAGAATGAAACAATTATAATTTTCAAGATTCTGCCAAGTAGTCAGCAAATATATTGATTATTTGGGAATTCACTCCTCTTCACTCTGAAATTACAGCTGCCAGTATAGTGATAATAATAAAAATGATACAACATTTTGTATTCGGAAAATATAGGTTCTCAAAAGATCTATCAAAATAAATAATGATCATGAAGTTTTTCCGTTTTATATTTCCTTTGATTCACAATTAACGCACCTGACCTGATAGAAGAATATTTTCCCAAAAATCTAATATTTCATTAACTTCAGGCACTATATGAAAAGCATAGGAACTCACATATATTCGAGAGATTTGTCTATACAGTGTGATATAAACATATGATAAACATTAATGAATTCTGATCTTCCTAAGTTTATTTCATCGAGTACTTTATCACTGAGATTTTTCTGCTGCTTAAGTTCTTCTCTATCTTCCAGCATCACATATAATTCTCTATAAACAGTAGCATATATGAATGGCATCCTGGAATAATAAATACATTGAAACATAAAGATATTGATAACAATTTCACAATTTGAAAACATTCACACTCTTCACTGGATGGAAAGGTAGTTTGCATAGAACTCTTTTTGCCTTATCTTACGGATCATTTTTGTCAATAGACATATTGAATATCAAATAGCCTGTCAAATACTCCAACTACACTGTGTTGCTAAATTCAATAATTTGGTCTATCAACACTTGTGGTGGAAAATTTGGTGTTGCTCAATACACTCCAAAACATAAGTAAGATCACTGGTCAGTAACTGGAGTTGTACCTATTCGAATCGTCAAAGGCTATCGAAGTAGTGAAAGGTACCTTTGTGTAGTTATTACAGTGAATAATTGAGGTTACTATCGAGGATATTGTAATTATGGAGCTATAGTTTCTCACTTCTTACTATTCTTATTATTTTCTGTTGGGACAGGAAAATGCTACTGATTAGTTCACTCTCATTCAGACCGTTTAAATTATTTTAATTTATTTAATAAACGGATTCACCATTACAATAGTTAATTATTACAGATTGACAAGATGGCATAAGAACAATAATATAGCATTGATATTGATTGAAATTTCAAATTTGAACTATATGGTTTGGTTTGAAGGATACAAAACGAAATTCCTGTATTAACCAACCTTTAGAAATTAACACTAAAGTATAGATTAATTGTGGATCGAGCCAGGATCAACTATACAAATTTTATTTTTAAAATCAGTTAAGGAATGGACAAATGGATCAATGTTTAATATGTTGAAATTACGCAAAATACGTGATAATGGGCTGAAGAACCCATAATTAGTTCTATGAGTTTTTATAGTAAAAAGTAATTAACCTCTTTCAAAAATGTCTGGCAGTCTCCTTGAAGAGCAATGTATAGAGACATGTATTTCATTTAACGGCGGATATTAATCTATGCTTTATCTCTGATTAGAACGCTGTGATAAAACATGGAGCATTTGTAATGCAGCTCGATAAAGCTGCTGCATGTTTTTTGGTTAACTGAGAAGTGGGTGAAAATCAATGAAACATCAAATTTGTATTACCCCATAAAAAACTAATGAGAAATTGACCAAAACATAATATATTACATATTTCTATTAATAATAATTACCTATTGTGCATTTTTCAAATGTAAGAAGTGCAATAAATAATTATTATTGTAAATTATTATTTAACTATCAGAACCCATATTTTTAATATCTAGACATATCCAGATGAAAACGTTTCATTTATATGTAGAAAAATATATCTGCGATTCCGAAAGACATACAAAAACTCTTAATAGTAATTACACAAGTGGTGGTGATTTTTTTATAATTTCAACCATATATCAATTTTATACAAAATAAGAGTATTACTGAAGTAATTTAACAATTGAAGCAAATATTTTTCCAGCATGTTCAAATTCATAGTTTGTGATAGTCCATTTAATAGCCAATCATTTAAAAATTTCGCTTGAGAAAATAATTCCCAATTGGTTTTTAGTAGTCCATAGTATACCAAATGTAATGGACTGGCTGAAAAAGCAGTGTGCATTGCAAAAATGATCATTAAAAACTCCAATAGTCCTAATGAAATGTATGATGCATTACTTCAATACAGATCTACCCCAGTGGCAGGTCTGAAATATAGTCCTAGTGAAATGCTGATGAGTAGGCTTTTTCGATCAAATTTGCCTGCAATAGATATTAGATAATGTTCTCAATCCTGAGCTGATTTATAAAATGACTCGCAATGATCTGCATGAAAAATCACCATTCAACTAAATTGCATTATGACAAATCTGAACAAATATTCACCAAGATTATATGAAATCTGCAATAGTAAATACAAAACTATCATTAGAAATAGTAACCAAACAAGGCATTCTCTGAATACTTCAAATGCAGTAACAGAAGATGTGGAATTTTCTCCATATAATGATAATAATGTTTTGGATAGCACCGCTAGCACCAATCCTGTAGAAAATACTGAAAGGCACTGCACTGCAGAGATACTTCATCTGGTAGGGTAGTTAAGAAACCTGTTTACTTTGATGAGTATTACTTGAGATAATTCTTTCAGACTTGTTCAATCATCATTGTTTAAAGTAGATATTTTGAAGTTGAACTATTTTTATGTATTCATTTTGAGGTGTTCATTCCAAAGACGGAAGATGTTAGATATGTAGGTTTTATTTTATCGAGGTTGGAAACAGTCAGTCAATCACAAGGGTCAGTTGGCAATGCAGCCACAGTGATGTACATGTAATGGTGGTCATGGAGGATCATCAAATAAAGAAAAGCATTATTCTTTAATTAAAAGTATTTTCATTGACTCGATATTGTATATAAAATAACAATACAAAACAAAAACAACGAAAACGTCACATTTTGATATGTGTAAAATAGTTATCAGAGTAATTTCTGACAAAAATATAAGTCCACAATTTTGTGATTACAAAAAAAATGTGTGTTTGAAAAATTACCACCAAAAATAAGTCTGCGAAAAAGCACGTTAAATACCCCCTCTTTATCATATGTTCAGTTAATAATTTCAGGACTTCCTACACGAGGACGACGTATGCATATTCTTTCCGCGGAATAATTTTTTTCAGATTTCAACAAAAACCAACTTGCATACATTTACTAATTGACTAGGAAAAAGCCAAATACTCAAAGTGGAATGCAATGGTCACAAATAGAGAGAAACTCAAAGTCATTACCACAATAGTTCATAAAATGAACGAAAATAGTAGATAACGAGAGAAAAACAATGACTTTCCTGGCTATATGCCACGCAGAACATTGGATTACCCCCTTCCGAAATCTAGAGTTTCTTTCTCTATTTGTGACCATTGCATTCCACTGAGTATTTGGCTTTTTACCTTAATTGAAAATACGCCAGTCGGGCAACCAGCCACTCCCATTTCACCTGAAATGGGAACTTGTTTTGGAGTGTTTCTTTCCTTGCCAGGTGGCGTTCGGCGTTCGCGTTACATTTCGCGGACGTTGAACTCTTCGTGAGGTATAAATGCTGAGATGTGTTTATTTTGGGTCAGGTTCGTACCAGATAGCGGCCAAGAAGCTATCTGAGACATCCCTATACTGATGAGAGCCAACAGCTCGAAACCGATCTGCAGGTAGTCACGCGTTCCTGATCCACTTAGGCGCAGCTCGGCGTTTGGGAAGGAAACACTTGCGATTTTATTCGTCTATACCAATTATTGCATAGATTTCGAGAGGATGTAATCCAATGTTCTGCGTGGCATATAGCCAGGAAAGTAGTTGTTTTGATCTCGTTATCTACCATTTTCGTTCATTTTATTAACGTGAATTACTAATCGTTCGAAATCATCAAATTTCAATGCAAATTAGATTGAAGACGCCGCTGCATGCGAGCATAATCAGAGAATTATCTAGGACATGTTGAACATCTATATCATTCATGACTTGAAAGATGCATACATTGAAGAAACGTTGCACAAAATATCCCATTAACGGCCAGTCTATCGAGAATTTTTTTGAAATCTTATCGTTTGTGAAGTTTTTTACATTCTAATAAATTTAATTGAGATCAGTGAATCTGGATCAATTGAAACACAGTCCGAAAAAACACAATAAGGAGTGATTTTAGATCATATTTCGATTAGAAGGAATACCATGACGTCCATGACATGTTGACACATAAAGACTGAAACACGAATCACCCTATATAATTCATAGAAAGAAAAATATTGATTCTTACCTAAAGGGCAATTCTTTATTGAGGCACATTTCAATTGAGGGCTTATAAAATTGTAGCAAGGTATTCAGAAGAGAAACTGTATTCAGCAAATAATTCACTACTGAATAAACCCAGGATAAATTGAACACTAAAGGTCTCGGAGGTATTGCTATAGGAACTATCACAGCATCTTTGGCGAACCCACACACATGGCCTCCTATCATTTCAAATACCTGAAAATTATTTGATTCTTATTCTGTAGCTGAACACGATTAAAATATAATAATAATAATAATAATACTTATAATTAAGAACTTTATTGGACACATTAAACGTTTACAAGAAAAATGTATCACCAAAGTTAGATAAAAACGATAAGTACCAATTGGTACTTGTTTCGTTATACAAAATGGAATTACAACATTGGATGAATACAAAAGACACCGTAAGTATATAAATAAAGTATGAATAAGATAGGTTGAAAATAAAAAGACACAGCAATACGAACACAATCCTAATTAAAATATTGATGATTTTAAAATATATAAATAACCCAAATAATAAAGTTTTCTTCATCCACCTGTTTGTATGGCATATTTGATTCAAGAGTTATTCATATATACGATAAACTTCTATTCTTTGTCTTTTGAGTAGATATTTTTGCAATCGCTTTTTGAAACGTGTAACATGTTTTATTGATTTTATTGTTTCTGGTATAGAGTTGTAGAGCTTCGGAGCATACCATCAGTGGTATGACAAAATTATCTTTTTTTCTGTGACGGGAAAAAAGTTTGGCATTTCATCTCTGATGGCAGGTTATGGAATGTCACTTTTCATGAAATACTTTTTTCCCGCGGGAAAAAAGTGAGTACTTTTTTCCCGGCTATAAATCACATATACACTGTCGATGGCTTTTGTTGTGCTATAGTTCCGAAAAGTGAGTCAATAATTCCGTCTCCGAGAAAGAACTGCAAGTCCTTTTATCTTCCATTCGACTTCGCGGTTACGTATATTGCTAAATAACCACTGAATTCGCAATTTCTTGAAATAAAATCACAAAATTAGACTGACAGAAGTGACATCAGATATTTGATTACTTCAAATGAATGATAAAGATGCCTACAACGCGGTGTCCCTACTGTTAAATACTTAAAATTTCACGTCGATAATTTTCAGATTTCGAGATAATGTAATATCTTCTCAATATTGATTCGTCCTTCCTTCTGTCACAGAAAAAAATAGTGTATTATACACGGGAAAAATATTAGATTTTAGCTCACGGTTTGTTGTCTCCCTCCGCTACGCGTCGGGAGACAACACAACCTGGAGCTAAATTCTACTACTTTTTTCCCTTGTAAAATAAATAACTATTAGACGAGTGTGATATTGGTGAGAGGGAAGTAAAGGGGTATGTTGATTTTTATGATATTTAGTACTAGAGCATAAAAAGTATATTTGCCTTATATCCAGAATTTCAGTTTCAGTGTGAAGAGTATTAGAATGATATCTACTGTTTTTGGAAAATAATAATTTGAGAAACCGTCTTTGGTATTGTTTCGAGATGGCGAATGTGTGTTGTCAAAGCTCCTCCCCATACTGCTATTCCGTAACGAATATGGCTTTCCACAAGGGAATAAATAATATAATGTTTTTAATTGATGCAGTGGTATCAGCTCCTGAATTTATATAGAATGGCCCTCAAATTATTGATAATGGAATTCAAATGTAAGTCCCATTTTAGATGAGGATCAATTAAAATTCCAAGATATTTTATTTTGTTTTCGGGTAGAATGACAAAGGGTGTGTAATTGTTCATAAAGAGGCATCCCGGAGGAATAAAAGCAAAATGGAATTTAATGCGTTTTATCGATGTTTACTCTTAGCAGCTTATTATCTAGCCAATATATTATTGCAGAGAATTCATTCTCAACTCTCCTTTTTAATGAATTTCAGTCATGAGCTTTGTTAAATATAGCTGTGTTATCTGCAAATCCAACGATATCTCCATTATTCAATGTTAACAATCCATTAATATATATATTAAATAAAATAGGCCCTAGTACGGATCCTTGAGGCGAGGCGCTCCACAATCAACCAATTTCGTATTGCTCAGTTTATCATCAACTCTCACATTCTGGCATCTTCCTGTCAGATAACTCTCAAATAGTTGCAAATTGATATTCCGAATGCCTATATCCTCCAAGGACTGTAAGAGAAGATGATGACTGATAGTGTCAAAAGCCTTCGGTAAGTCTATAAATACACAAATGCATGGCTTGCTTTCATTCAGAGACTCGATGACTTTTGAAGTTAATGACAAAACAGCATCTTCAGTCGAAATGCCTTCTCTGAATCCGAATTGACTATTCAATATCCATACACCCGCTAATTCATGTAATACAGGGTTGATATCGCCGTGTGTTTTCGGTTGTCACTCATTCAGATAAAAAAATTGCGGCAAATGAAGCAATTAGAACGTTAGTACCTGCTATATTTATGATAAATTATTTCATATTTCTTTTTTTTAGTAAAAAACTGAAATTTGATTTTTTTACACATTACCGCAAGTGCGGTCAGGTATCTTATTACAAAACTAAACTCAGTGTCATAATGTTTCAGATTACATAATGGTAGTGGTAGTAAGAAAATAACATAACTGGCCCATGTCTACTTTATCAAAATCATCCTCACACCTAGTATGTTTTGCCGATGATACAAATATTTTGCTTAACGGTTGTGACATGCGAGACATCATTCAGAATGGAAATATACTGTTGGATAGAACAATGATGTTCTTTTCTGAAAATAGCTTAGTCTTGAATAAGGACAAGACAAGTTGTATACTATTCAAAAATGATGATTCTATCATAACACTTAATCTTTAACTATTAATAATCAAATATTGACCTGCTGTGATACAGTTAAATTTCTTGGCATGACAGTAGACTCCACTCTGAGTTGGAAATGTCATATTGACAATTTATGTAAGCGATTAGCTTCCACAACTTTTGCTATTCAGACACTAAAACATAATGTAGACAAAGATGTATTGATTGCTGTGTACTATGCAAATTTTTATTCGTCCATCACAACTGGGATTGCCATATGGGGTGGTAGTCGGGTGTTAGATAGAATTTTTGTAAGCCAAAAAAGGCTATCCGAGTAATGTTTGATATGAATGTTAGAGAATCGTGTCGCGGAATCTTCAAGGCCCATAATATTCTCACGGTTCCTGCTGTGTATGTATTAGAAACTATTAAATTTCTTATGAAACAGTCGCATCAGTTCAACTGTTATGAAAATAGCCACACTTATAATACTAGGCATAAAGGTGATTATGCGATTCCCAGGTACAACAGAAGTTCCACTGAAAGAGGTTCAATGTACAGTTCACCTAAATTTTTTAACCGTCTGCCGCAGGCAATAAAAACGATTGAGCACATCAGCGGTTTCATGCGGTCATTGAAATCATACTTGATCGAGTTAGAGCCTTACACGGTTAAGGATTACTTGGAATATTAATTAGCGAGTTGAATGTCTAAAATTGATAATTTTATTAGTCTGTACTGAATGCATTTGTATAACTTTTTACTTGTTTCATAGGCCAATCAATTTGTTATTCTCAAAATGAGGAATTGTAATCTAATGAAATCAATAAATTTCTATTTCTATTTCTATTATTCTATATGAGTGTGAAAACTTACCATTAAAGTGTGATTAACTGTCTCCTCCACTTCATGGATTTGAAAGTCCAGCTGAGCAGTGTTGTCGAAATATAATGTAGTTAATTTATTTATGAAATCCATGTTTGAATGTTTATATAAAAATACCAGTGTGTTCACAATTGGTAAATTTATGAGTCTCTTCTCTAATAACTTTTCATAAATAAATTCTTTTGGTATATACTCTTTCTGTAAGCAAATACATTCATGAAATGACATATTAGAGCACATAAATTCACTTGTCCCGTGCCCAGCTTCCTAAATTTTTTAGATTATTTATTTACGTTACGAGGTTATGAGGGATATTAGGGTTGTAATATTGTGGCAGATACTCATTAGCATTCTGATGATTTATTAATTTTGATGTTGCACGCATCTTTGACGATAATGAAATAAACAATGTCATTATGAATCATTGGACAAAAAAGAAATAGCAGTTTAGATTTTCAAAATCAATAACCGTTCAGCTTTGATGGTAAATTTTTGTAGAAAAAAAAAACGAACAAAAAAATATAAGTTATTCAGAAACTGTCATAAAATTATGCAATAATCAAGTGACCACAAGAAGAAAAACGAGAAAAAAATAAAATTTCATCTAAAAATGTACTACTGAAAAGATTCAGTAATCACGAATGTAATTTGGTTGCTAAGTAACAAAAAGATTCAATTTATTGAATAGTTTATCGACTGTATTATATTATGATATAATAGGAAATATCGGGGAGTTCAGTCAAATAGGGCTACAAGCAAACTACTTTATTGCTATGCCAAGCTTTCGAAAATTTTTATTTTCTTGTTTTTGTTAAATTGAATTGTAACAAAATCTTTTATATACCATATATTGTTTCAGCCTTGTTTTTGTTAAATGGAATTGTAACAAAATCTTTTATGTAGCACATATTGTTTCAGCCTTTTTTTTTCATCAAGGTGGTCGAAATCCTTTATGGACACCATATGGGTCCAATCCCCCATATGATAGTGTGGGAGTCCCCTGACTCCAGGGTATACCCACTAAACACTCCACCCCGTTTGTAGGCTCGTCTGACCGAAGTCTCCGACGACACTTAGACCTAGTGGCCCATTGTATCTTACCTACATGCCGTTATCAATTTTACCATATACGACTCATGGTGCTTATTAAGGGCCACTTCAATATGAAAGACCCTTTTCGTTCAGGTTCCTGAAGATTACTCTTCCGATACCTGTTCTCGTCTACGAAGAAGGCCAAAAGTTTTCCTTCTCCTACGAGTGACGGGGGAAGGGGTTGGTCCAGCCCTGTGGTGCCCCCTGCACAGGGCTAAGGCTACTCACTCTGAGATGTCGCCCTGTTTCCCAGAGGCCCCGTTAGCGACACCATACCTCGGTGCCATTCATCAATCACCACGTGTTCCAACAGCTTGGATTAGGTTGCCAGAGCCCCATCCCTGCCACAGATGTCCACAAATTGTCCCATCTAGCCCAGAGATAGCAAAGATGGTCCCAAAATGCTTCATCCGTCGAGCGACCGCGGTCTGTCCTCCCCACACCACTTGATGGTGAGGTTGGGCTTGGAGGGGAGGAGGAAAAAAGAAGTTGGCCAAGAAAGGCCGATAAATAGATTGAAAAAAAAAAGGAAGAGAGAAGAGGATATCACCCAAGACAAGTTGAAGTATGGTGGATATCCGGCTAGGGTACCTCGGGTTCACCATTCCCGTACTCAGTTGTGAGCCCCTGAGGACTTGTTTCAGCCTTGAAAAAGGAAATAAAAATTTTCGAGAGCTTGGCATAGCAATAAAGTAGTTTGCTTGTAGCCCGATTGACTGAACTCCCCAACATTTCCTATTATATCAAAAAGATTCAACTTACCTCAGACACCCAGAATGTTATAAGTCTTTCATAGACAAGTATAAACATATTAAATACTGTTTTATAAATATCGAAGTATTCATCCTCTAAATATTCAGTCTGGTAGTGAGGTATGGGATTTAAAATGAACTTCCTCAATGAAACTGCAGCTGAAGGTTCAAATAAAATAGTACACCAAAATTGATGAAAATCACATGTCAATAAGAATTCCAAACTTTCCATAAACATTAAATTCTTTGTAATAAAGGACTTGTTTTCTTCTTGTGACAATGTGAATGTATATGGTTCAAATGTATGTAAAATGCATTTGGGTAACCATCTTTTATCCTGGAAAAAATATATTATATATTTTGTGATAGCATTAATAATGTTATATTACCAAGGCAGGAATGATTTCGGAGACTTTATCGAACCACTTCATCCTGATATTATCTGCAGATTCTTCTAGAAAATCCTATAAATTAAAAATAAAATGTCAATTCAGTTCGCGAAACTTCTCCTGGAACACGATTCAATAAGAACAACTCTTATAATAATATTTTTTAAACATAAGCAAACTATGTCAACAAGAATTTTATTTCTGACAATAAAGTATATTCTCTCTCTCTTTCTTTGTTAAAATACTAACAAAACATTGATGTATGTATAAAAAAGAGGCGTTTATGGCATACGTCAGCATGCGCTGGGGTCAAGGAAAATTACCACTATCATCATCAACTTTCAATCAACCCTTACAGGAGATTGAGATTCCTATAGTACTATTACGATGTAATGAACCCATGTCCAGACACTGGCGATTTAGGAATTTTAGGGTATTTAAAGTTTTACTGGGGTGCATTTGAAGACATTCTCTGTGGAGTAAAGATCACCTATTTGAGATCGAAATTTGCTAGATTGTGTAATTATATTCTACTCTGTGACTGTTCAAAAATACATATACAGTTTTTGACGTCGAGTCAACTCAGGTAACTCAACAAAATAGGTGGGTTTATTTTCCTCCACTGACGGACGAACGGAGTTTCTGTTTCTTCCTATTTATTGAGAGAAGCAGCGGAAAACGATATGTTGGTCTACAGTCGAATGCACACTATGTATAGGTATTTAAGAACTTACCACGTCTTTTGGTAAATTTTTCTTCAGTACATATTTGGTCCTTTCCAAATGGATTTGATTGATAGGTAAATTACTGGGATTCTGAAATAAGAATATCAACATTTAGTGATTATACAGTTAAACAAGTAATGTTACAGTTAATTAACAGGGTCCCCACTTCGAATCTTGACGTGGTCGAGGGAGATGAAGTCATAGCTCTTCACAGTACTAATGCTGAAGAAATGCTTCAAATAATCAAGGGACTAAATAAAAATTGGGCAGCAGGAGATGATGGACTAACTACAAGGGAGTTAATCATATTAAAAATGACATTGCACCAATCCTGATCAATTTAAAAAATAGAACATTTCAACAGGTTATTTTCCCAGACATTCTCAGGATTGGTAAGGTGACCCGAATTCATAAAACAAGACCTTTTAGTTGAATTGATAATTTCAGACCAGTAACTGTATCTTACCTATAAAAAATTACTGAGACTATCAGAAAGTCAAGAATTATTGAATTTATAGAAGAAGTCGTCCACCTCGACAAATACCAGTACGATCAAATGCCCCAAAGGGTAGGACAGGACGACAACGGGCTGGCAGCCGCCATGTTTAGGCTAATGTCAAATGATCTGTCTTTGTCTAATTAGTTGGTTATGTTTTTTGTTTTGGATATTTTGAAAAGCATTTTGTTATTATTTGGAATAAAGGAATTATATTCTACCTTATTCAAAAAATGTAATGAATATAGATCAGGTTAGGTTATGTAGCCGACTAAGTTTCAGATGAAGATTTAAGAAGGAGCCAATAAAGTCTTGGAAGCTGGTACTCAAACCCAGAGATAGGTACACCGACTTTGACTGCTAAACTCAAAGGAAGCACAAGTTTTCTATCAGTAGGTAAAAGTTTGAGATATTGAAACAGTCTAATGTGATCTCTGGGAGAATCAAACATATGCATGTCTTCAGGAATGACTACTTCCAATAAGTACTAACTTTTTCCAGGAGTGATGTTTTTTACTTGAAGGAAAAAGAAAATATCTGAAGCTTCTATAAGGTAAAAATGTACCTACACTTTGTCTACTTCCAAACTACAATGAAATAGAATTCTGCATACAGGATTTTTTGGATGAAAAAAACACAGTGAAGACAACATACCTGAGAAAAATGGTCTATTGATTGGAATATCAGAGGAGGTGACATGGCAATCTGGAATGTAATTCCTCTCTCAAGTAAACCAATGGTACACAACAGAAATGAAAACAACCTCATAGGTACTTCCACTGATAATTATTGGTAATCCAAGAACTGACCATTTTGATTCTATGGATAGACTACAGCTTGCCAGTCTTACAAAATGTGTAAGTGTGTGTCCATTGGATTTGTCAAAGGGAAGGGAAAAAGTAAATGGACTAGATGTTTACTTGCTTGAAATCTATCAACATTTTATGTACTTTCTAGGACACATATCAGATCAGTAATATTGTGTGAAAATATGATTTTCAATCCACTTTCTAGTAGGTAGGTACCCGTTATCCACTAGGGAAAGAAATTTGTGAAATTTTGTAGTTTAATTTTGTATTTTATAATGATAATTTTGTTAAATCATACCTAATTTATTATGTTCAGGAGAACTAATCAAATATCAGTAAAATGATAATTATAATGATGGTAAAAATACTACATATGTGTATTTGGCAGTATGTTTGTGAGATATGTAAGAAATGAAATGAACTCTTTCCATAAAAATTATTTGTTATTAATAATTAATATTGTCCAAATCATAGTCAAAATACAGTGAAGTAAAATCACTGGAAATCACTGACATTATTTTTATAAAATCAAAACATCCTACTAAGCCATTCTGACTGCATCCACTTTGTGCAAATCAATGTCAATATTATAAGGTTTTTGTATTAATGAGTTTTTTTTTTTCATTTTCATCACATTGTCATCATACACCAATATTCTACATTGTATTCCATGAACTTCACTTCAACCACATACACTGGAAATTCTACATTTTTGAAACACATACTTCAAGTATTTATAATTTCATGCTGTTTAAAGTCACTGCATTTTCATTCAGATTATTTCTTTATATGTTTGGTATTCTATAGCTTCTTAATCACATGGGGTAGCTGGAGCTATGGACAACATATCATATTTCATCATCAGGAATCCATCCTGCAAGGCTTCTAAGAGCTTTCACATAACTTATTGGATCACCCAATCTGTCCCCATTCAATGAAGTCATTGCAAATCTGCATACTGTAGGTACTTAATTTTCCAGTCTCATTAAATATGCAACATATAAAAATGGAGGTAGAAAATCTGAAAAATGAATAAATGAGGTTAAACCATGATTATTAATAATATTTCCTTACTTACCAATATTATGTTCTACAGAAATATTAAATAGAATAGAAAATAATACTGCCTGAGAAAAAACAAAAAAACCACAGAAAAACACTGCTTTTTCCGACACAAAGTTCAAATCATTCAAAGCCTCGGATTTTGACTAAACATGGCGGACTGTGGAGGCGGATTTCTAATATCTTACTAATAACATATGATTATTAAAAATATTTTTCAAGTTGCCAATTTCATGTTCTGTAGAAATATTTGATCGACTGCAAACTAATACTGCATGAGAAAAAACAGGAAAACCACAGCAAAGCACTACTACAGGGTTTCTATAAATGATCCTAACATCCTAGTAGCCGTTGAAATATTTTCTCCATTTGCCGCCAATCATTATACTGTCATAGCTGATAAACTCACAATTGTCAGTTTTTCATTAAAATTTTCAAACGATTCTGTTTTCTACTTCATGATTGTTGTGTTGAAAAGAGGAAATGGCACATTCATCAATGATGGATGGAGTTACTAGGTAGTAGCCTGCAAGGATGAGTACCTGGCGAAATATTATAATGTACAGATTCAAGAATCTTCTTTGAAAGCCCACTTCAGAACAGTGATCAACAGATTCATCCAAACTGGAAACGTTAATAAAAAGAAATCAACAGGAAGGCCCCAAATATCAGAAGAAGTTGTTGAAAATCTAAGGGCGCGTGTTGAGCAAAATCCCCAAACGTCATTGAAGAGATTATCTTTACAATCTGGTGTGCCACAAAGTACATGCCATAAAGTGCTCAAGAAAAGATTGCATATGCACCCTTACAAGACCAGTGTACTACAGCAACTTCTGCCAATAGATATCCCACGTCGTCTAGAGTACTGCCAATAGTTCCAAAATAATCTCAAGGATGACCAGCTATTGGACCTAACATTTTTCAGCGATTTGGCTTGGTTTCATTTGTCGGGGTATGTGAACTCACAAAATTTTAGGTTTTGGAGATCTGAGAATCCCCACAATTTCATTGAGACTCCACTACATTCTCAAAAAATCGGGGTGTGGTTAGCAGTTTCTCGTAGGCGAATATATGGACCGATTTTCTTCAATGGCACTATCAATGGTGAAAGGTACAGAAAAGTGATGTTAGAACCATTCATCAATCAACTTGATGATGAAGAAATTCGAGTTGGCTATTTTCAGCAAGATGGGGCCACTGCCCACACCACACGTGCAAATTTAGAATATTTTATGACAACCGTGTGATAAGTCCAGGAGTTAATCCTTCTTTTCCAACACGTTCTCCAGATTTGATGCCTTTGGATTTCTGCCTTTTTGGATATTTGAAAGACGAAGTATTCAAGAGAGACAATAATAACCTTGAAGAGCTGCAAGCCTCAATAACACATTGCTGCCAAAATATTGTCCTGGAAATGCTGAGGAACATTTTCAACAACAAACGGTGAAGAGTTTTGAAATGCTTGGAGAAGAAGGGAGAATATTTTGAACATTTGATGTAGGTTAGTGAAATAAACCATTATTTATTCTTTAATAAATATTTTTGATTTGTTCTATTATTTTTCAAACTCCAATATTGGACTCTCTTTTCTTTGAGATACATTTCCATAGTGTATGCAAAACGATATGAAAAAAGATCCACTTCCTCTCTTTTTGGTCGTTAAATGTTGTTAACAGCATTAGTAGAAAGCGGCAAATGGAAAAAATGTCAACAGCCACTAAGATGTTAGGATCATTTATAGAGACCCTGTATTTTCAACACAAAGTTCAAGTCATTCAAATTTGCCGCGGATTTCGCCTAAACAAAGCGGATTTCTATCAACCAATAGCAAAGATGACATGCCATTGTCGTCACTGTGTTAAATGCAGTCTCTGTAGGTACGAGGAAGATATAGAGCCATCTAGTGGCAAAAGTGCAAAGTTATATGTGTAGGTTGTTTAAACAACCATACCATGTGAGTACATCAAATGTAGAACCCCATGTCCATATTACAGAAATGCAAAAATGACAATTCTGCAGACTATCACAACACCAGAACTTAAATATCTCTCTCATACTCTTGAGATTTTAGGTTCCTCAATACCAGTACAGGTTCTTACCTCAAAGTAATACAATGTATTACCTGTTCAGGGTATATCCCATCAATTTTGAATGCAACATATTTCATGAATAATCTCTGTACTGACTCTAGACTCTGACTATATGTTGAATATATAGGGGACCATATAAGGCAAACATAGTCTAATAGATTCAAATAACTTTCTTGATTCTGGAAGTCCTTAGAATTTCTGAATATCATGCCTAACATTCTTATAGCTGATGATATAAATTTAGTAATGTGTGGCAAGAACTGAAGTTTTGAGTTTTGAGTCAAAATAGACACCAAGATCTTTCCTTATTTTGTGTTTTTCTATACTGTTGCTGTTTATAGTGTAATTAAATTCAATCATATTGACCTTCAGTGAATATGTTGCTGAGTGACACTTTTTTATGTTGAGTGGTAATTGATTCTCAATGCACCAAGCGGCCACTTGATTGATGTCCTTTTGAAGCATTTGACAATCAGTAATTGACTGGGTAATTGAGTTGATAGATCTGAAAATTTTCACATAAGTGAAGAGTAGTATCTTACTAGATATATTATGCATCATATCAATAATATACAGGGAGAACAGCAATGGAGCCAAGTTACTGCCTTGAGGTGCTGAAACTCCTAACATTTTGGAAGTTTTTGTAGTTTTCAACCCAATTTGCTGTTGTTTCAGGGTATGGTAACCCACTTAACTGGTCTGCTTTTCTAGCTGAACCATTTTTGGAACAGTAGATTTAGCTTGATCTGTTTGATCTACAGCAATTTGCTCCACCCAAAGAACACAGTTAGATCAATGTTCTAAGCATATCTAGCAACACAAACAAACATACCTCCATAGAATGGTCAATTGGGGAGGCGGCAAAATATGTGCTACTTAAAGCACCAAAATTTCTAATCCAGGCCTGGAGTCTAATCTGTGATACTGTGATTTCAAATCAAGTTGTCAGTTGAAAAATAATTATTGATTCATCTGAAAAACTGTAAAAAAAAATCCCAGGCATTATGCCCATTATGGTATGGCTTGAATTTTTCAAAAATCCAATGTTGAAAAATGATCCACTTATTACCTTGCTTATAACATGGAGTTGAATGAATATCAGGAAGTAATTTACACCAAGGATATTCCTAGGATGATAATCGTTTTTAGCTACCTAATACATAATAGTACAGTTATGTATTTGATCTCCCAGTATACTGTTTATCTGAATTTCCACCATATAAACATGGGACATTGATATCTATTTATTCACCCTTATAATATACCTACTGGAGATTCTTTCAACAAAATAGAGATTTAAAAGTGGTATTTAATATCATAAATATTGATACCAAAAAAATAATGCTGAGTTTTTACCTTGAATACATTGATATAGTCGTAAGTTGAATGATCAGTAAGTTGCTCCTTTCCAAAGCCTTCCTTTGAAGAATTTTTAGCTGAGCTCATTTTCAAAAAAAACGGAAGATTATTTTTTACAAAGAAAGACAGATGCACCACATTTCACCACTTCACAAATCAGCATCAGCAACAGCAATCAGCCAGCCAGATCACTTATGTCAGCACTGCCTAACCTAAACAAAATTAGAAAAATTAGAAAACCCCCGAAGATGCCAGAAAAATCACAACAAAAAATAGAGAAGAGAATGAAAGTCGGAAAATATCGATATCAAATGTCGTTGAGTATCGAAGTTCACCAATTCACATTCACCTGAAACCCGCATAGCATATATATACCGGGTGGCTACGGAAGTATTGCCTACGGAATATCTCAGTTATTGTATGAAGTAGGTTTGTGAAATTTGGAGCGTCGATATAATGACATAAGAGCTAAAATTTGAGCATATTGACATGTCGAAGTTGACTTCCGGTCTGACAGGAAGTAACATCAACTTTCTTATTCTGAATGGAAACCCTATTTTTTTTTCTTTTCGCTTTATTCAGCATTCAATTCCCTTATTTATAATGACCACATAATGACATATCACAAGTTGGTATCTAACCAGAAACTAGATCAGAAAAAAATTATGATTGAAGTTCACCGAGTAGGTTGTGGAAGCAAAATGAAAGCCAAAAATTGAAAAGTTGGCTATGGAAACCATACGTCACTTGCTAACAGTTGCTACTACTGTGATATTTTATTTTCATTCGTCGGCATTATAAAAAGCCGCAAAAAAAAATATTGGAAAAATTGGGAAAAAAACAATACTCTGTAGGTCCATAACTTATATAGGAACATACAACTTTTTCTTGCCTGTACTATTCAGCATAACCATTCCTTTCTAATGATATAATAGAAAGTCATTTTTTGAAATGAAATACGCTTCCACGGCCTACTCGGTGAATTTCAATAATCATTTTTTTCTGATCTAGTTTCTGGTTAGATACCAACTTGTGATATGTCATTATGTGGTCATTAGAAAGGGAATTGACTGCTGAATAAAGCTAAGAGAAAGAAAAATAGGGTTTCCATTTAAAATAAGAAAGTTGATGTTACTTCCGGTCAGACCGGAAGTTAACTTCGACATGTCAATATGCTCAAATTCTAGCTCTTATGTCATTATATCGACGCTCCAAATTTCACAAACTTACTTCATACAATAACTGAAATATTTCGTGGGCAATACTTCCGTAGCCACCCGGTATATGAAGCATAATGGGTTCTAGAGTTCTGTTCTTAAGTTCTACCACAGAATACTCAATTAACTCTCAATCTCAAAGTTAATAATCCTAGATTGCTACAAGTTGCTACCCATGTTCTACACAAATCACTGGACGACTCTTAGCAAAAATCATTAACAGTTGACACAGTGATGTTATAAATATTGAAAGTGGACTATCATTGTGGAGGGTGGAGTGGAATTTAGTTACCTATAGTTCCTGTGCATAAATGATACAATACATCAATAATACTAAATCGAATTAATAATTTTCACTTCTTGAACGAAGAGATGGCGGCAATATTGGCAGCCGGAGGGCAGATGCGAGAATGTGAGGAGTACAAGAGAGAAGGAGACTCTATGAATAGAATGACTGAAGTACAATTCATAAAATATTTTTGATTAACGAAGAATTTTCTTGTTCTCTATTTCTTTATTCGTCATTTGAGAATCGGCCCCTAGATGCTTCTAATAATTATTGGTGACCTATGACTTGGCCTAGACCCTAGACCTACCTAGACCTAGACCGTTGATTGATATATTACGCTTACGCTGTCAATCAACGCCTAGACCCAAGGTTATATAACTAAGTGTCTAGAGACAGGACACATCCAATATCGCAGCAAAAGGCTGCCACGTTTGCTGGCGCTTTCGCGCACGAATTCAATCTGACCCGAAATGATGCACAGGTAGGCTTTTACACCAATTAGATCGATTTTGGCCTTGGCGGTAAATTCGAATCACGGATCTTGGCGATAAATCACCGATTCACATACGTATGCCAGATGTGGGTGTAAAACAATGTGAATTAGGCCCACAATGTTTAGTACAAGCTTCTATAGCTATAGCATTTTTCTCTATGGCTCCGTGAATTCCGAATACGTAATATGAGGAAGGAAAATTTCCTTTCTGCATAAGAAAGGAGACTTATTCTTTACCTGAACATTCTAACCTAACCTAACTCGGCCTAAGTGAACCTTCTTCCTGGGAAATATATTTTTCTGAGAATTACTTAGAGAGCAAAAGATATACTATAGTTTTTCAAAACAATCTAACCTAACTCGGCCTAGATGAACCTTCCTGAAAAGTATATTTTTCGATAAATTACTTGAGCAAACAAGGGAGATTACTTTTTCTAAACGATCACACCCAGCTCAGCCTAAAATGAACCTTCTTCCTAAAAAGTATAGTTTTCGGGAAATTACGCATAAAGCAGAGAGTACTTATATGGCAACAGTGCATCCTTCGGGGTATTTTCGGAGACTGTGGGAATATCGAAATGTGGGGATAACGAAATGTGGGCAGAACGAAATGTAGTTGATGTAGCACAATGTGCCGATAGGCCCACAATGTTTCAGTGAATTCTGGCATATACGACAGTATTTGGCAATTCGAGTATGTGGGCCTATCGAATTTGGGAACAACGCGATGTTAAAGTAACGAAATGTGGATTTAACGATATACATCAGGGTGTCCCAAAATTAGCCTGCCAAACTTCACCAGCGGCTTATAAGATCAAAAATAGGAAAAAAGTAAAATATAAACATAATAAGACGAGAAATGTCTCCTAAGGGGGCTCCTGAAGATGACATATTTCTTTAGTATTTCCGAAACTCCATGTCATAAAAAGATGCAATGCAAGTTTTATTGGAATTACATATACATATATACCCAAAAAGTTAGGGGAAACTTTTTTTAAACTTCGACACCCTGTATATCTCGGAAACCAATCAAGCTATATATGTATATATACAAATGATAATATAGGTGTACAGTCGTCTTCAGAAAACATGTCGCACATGGACGATGATAGCATTTTTAATAACTCCTGCAATAAGAGCGCTGACACCGTCCAACCGCGACATGATCTCTGAAGACGACTGTACCTATATATATTGAAACCGTCACTTTTATGACGTTGCAAGGACGTATCTATGACGTCTAAAAATCACATCGGTGTGACGTACCAATTTGGTGAGCTTCGTCATTCAGAAAATTTTTCAATAATTTATAGCAATTTAGATTTTTGTTGGGTGACAAATAATGCATAAATATACGCTATACTTAACAAAGTGAAGCCAAATTCGCCAACATTCTTTTCATTTGCTATCAAACTATTCTTGGGTTGCTTATACGTCTCGCCGATACATTTTTGATACAAATACGAGTAACTGATTTATTCATTCTGATGGAGATGCGTACTGAGGAATAGCGCTGCTGAATAGACGATTGAATGTACATGACACCGGAGGGACCACCAAGCAGACTCAACAATGCATAATCAATATTATATGTCATCAGAGGTCAATGCATGAGGTGATTATTACGCCATGTTCGAGGAAACTTTTTTACGTATCATCACCAAAGGACCCCGCACGAAAACACGGGAAATTGGCTCTCGGTCGAATTGGCTGAAATTTTACTATGTTGTTGTGGGATGGCTCATTAAAAAAATATGTGAGTTTAACAAGTTTTGTATGTCAAGTTTCTAAGATACAAGCCGATGAAGTTCGTAAAAACGTCGTATCGGGGTAGGATTGACAAAGAAAAAAAAAATTTTTTTAGTATAAATGAAACAAAATGAGCTAGAAAATGTATCGATCGGAACTCACAAACAATTAAACATGTCTAGTTATAAACACATGATTTATAGTAATTCAGGGTGTATACGAGGCACGGTCAAAAAATTCATTTTTCGGAAAAAAAAATTCGAGCACTATTCCCAAACCAACAAGTTATATTTTGGTGGGGCATTTTGGTTTTAGTCTATTGTAGGCTTCGAAAACGTATTTTGATTCTTTTCAACTAACTCTGTTCGAAATATGAATTTTTAGAATTTTGTATACCCCTTTTTTGAATACAATTAATTAACAGCTTGTTTTTGATCACAAAGAAAGCGATTGATTGATACTGTTGATTGAATGAATGCTGAGGTAGGTATAACTCACTAGTGAATTCAGTTGTTCAATATTGGCTTTCATTTGGATACAGGGTGTGTTAGATTTTGTTGAAGATTATTTAACATGTTTCAATTGAATATCTCGAAAACAGTTCCGTTAATTTGGATCTCATTTTACTCACACTATTTTGAATATGTTGACTAGTAAAATTTCAGTCAATTCGACCGAGAGCCAATTTCCCGTGTTTTCGTGCGGGGTCCTTTGAACGTCATTTTGACACGGTATAGTTCAGTGCATTTTGACGTCACAGTTTGGCTCGCAGATAAACGTGAGTAATATAACGTCATTGGGCTGTGACTCACGTTATACGACGTCCACTCCTGAGGACACCTTGGTCATTCAACTGACCTAAAAAGACGGTGGGCTGGGTGGTGGGCTCGAAAATAATGAACGCTAAGGCAGAAATCGCCACTGTTCTAACTCGGAGGAAAATACAGGAACGGTAAATTTCGGAGTCACTCATTCGTGGGCAGACAAAAAGAGCGCTTCAAATGAGAGGCGTGGAACATTCACCGTTCAACCCCAGTATTTGGGTCCTCTAACACGTAAGTCGTCTCTCGGATGGGTTTCTTTAGGCCACTCAAATAAGGATTCTTTTTGTTTCTTCCTTCAAAGCGAAGGAGGAATTGTTGTCCTTTAGAAGAACTAATTCGCCTGTTTTGAAAGGGTGGAACGGATGACCAGGGTGGCTTTTAAAGCACGACGAGCATCGCGGCCCTGTAAAGAGGTTTCAGCCAAAATTAGTATATTTTGTCATGACTCGGGAGAAGTCTTCGAAGGGCCCAACATACTGGGTGGGTGGGTGGCATAACCTAAGGTCTCGACTGTG